ACAAAGCCTTGAATCACCCAAAAACCTCAAAAATCAAAAAGTTAAATTCATCCCCACACTACTTTGACCAAAAGCTACAAAACTTGCCATATCTTGGTCCACATACTTTCTTGGCATTCCAATCACTCTAAAACCTTACCAATGATGTTTCTCAACTGTCCAAATTGCTAAGAGTCACTGGTAGCTCATATTTCTTCCACTAGCATCATAGTTGCATTTTGCTCAAAGGTGAAAATTCAAGGCAAGGAGAATCAAGGAAATCTCTGGTTTTCTAGGAGTATTTTGATTGCCCAAGTTTGACTACAACAGGTATGTAGTATCTAGCCCCTCTCCATTCATTACCATGTCATGAAAATCATTTTGGTTTGTTTTGCCTAGAAGCTTATTGTCACTTATTGTTGCATATGCATACCATAATGTCAAACCATGGAAATTGAGATTTACTTGTTGCAGTCTAAGTATTATCTTATTGTGTGTATATGTGGCTGGTGTGAGAAGCCTATGCATTGCTTATTTTATCTCCCCTGAAAATGCCCTGTTGCATAAGGAATCAAAACTGTTTTTGCAGCAAGCTAGAAAGTGTCACTTTGATTTTTTGTGGTGGTTTAAGACACACTCATCCATATGCATATATATGTTTCCCACTTTTGCTGAACATTGGTATGTTACTCATGTGTGTTGATTCTTGATTGTGTGCATGGAAACTGATCAGTTTCTGTCAAGAGCATGTTGCTAGTAGCCTAGGCCTCATTTGCTTTTTTGTGTTTGATCATTTGAAAGGTTGAACATCATCATCATGCTATGAACAGAATGGAAGTTATTTGTTTGGTTTATTGTACTGTCAAGAAACTTCAAAAACAGTAGGAATACCACTTTGTGCATAAACATTGAAAACCAGCCTTTCATCCTTTGAGCATGTTTGAATGTGCATTTAAAAGTTGTGTGTATACTTACTTTGCCCAATTTGTGCATAAAGTTCATTTTTCATACTTGGCATGTACACTTGAAAATCAACCAAAGCAACTCATAGGTCATTTTGCATTAAGCTTGTTTTTCCATTAAAATAATCTTTTGAGCATCTCATATTAGTCATTTGGAAGGTGTTTGCATACTTTCTTTGAACCAAAACAAACTGTCATGAGATGTACACCTTAAAATGCATTTTTGCCAAATTTTTCACTTAACATACCATTTTCAGAACATGTGTGCATTAAGCCTATGTTAAGCACCAAACTCACTCAAAATCTTGTGTATACACTGTGTATATGGATAATTTAGCCAGAACATGCATAGAAATAAGAATTGCATCTCTCATGCTTCTTTACTTTGGGCCAAAATGCAGTTAGAGTACCATTTTTTATGACAGATGAATTTAAACTTCCTTATGTGCATAACTTTATTCAGTAGCATATATTTGACATGTATGAATGCTCACTTTGATTTCCTTGTGTCTAAAAACTGAACTGTCACAATACATGCTCACCACTTATGCAAACTTGTAACTCATATGTCATATCTCACCACAGCATGATCTGAGCCTCACTCACTGCATGAACTCTCTCCATATCATCATTATATTATGCTTGCATATTTGGTTTGGTTTGAAACTGACTTGAAACAGCTGCACACTCAAAATGCACATTTTACACAAAATTAGCACTTATCATACCACTTTTCATTTCTGTTGGGATCAAACATATTTGAGATGATAGAATCACTCAATTTCATGTATGTGTGCTATTTATATGATTGGTTTGGTCATAAAAGTTTTGGAACTGAAAACTCACCTCATCATGCATAATGTTCAAAACAAGTGCACTTCCAAATGTCATTTTCTTAACAGACCTCTTTTCCACTCTAAAATCTGATCATACTCATTCAGCATCATTTATATGAAGTGTGTGTATGCTTGGTGTAATCAATACCTGCCTTGAACCTGATCTGCACACTGTCATGACTTCACACCTACACATGTGCACTTTAATTTCACTCAAGCTACTCACATACCACTTTTTGCACAAGTTTGATTTTCACCAAAACTACATTTTGAACACTTCATATTAACCATTTTTGAACTATTGGTATCATCATTTGACTTAAAAACAAATTGTTACAAGATTCACATTTCCATTTGAATTTTACCAAAATTGTGCACTTAACATGCTATTTGCAAAATCTGTTGGTATTAAACATATTTGAAGTTCTTGAATCATCATTCATCGTGAATATAAGCTGTGAGCACTTTTGATTTGAATTGAAAATGACTTGTAACAATTGCTCATTCCAAAATGCACTTTTCTCACAATTTTGCACTTGCCATGACATGTTGAATTTCTATTGATACTAAGCTTATGTGCGGTGATAGAATCATTGTACATGATATGTATGAGCTGTGTGTATGTTTATCTTGGTTGGAAAGTGTTTGAATTGGTTGGAACATGTCAAAATGCACTTCATTTACACCATAGAACAACCACTATCGAATTTTTCACTAGGATGAGAATTTTTAAAAACTACCACCACCATCATGTTCCTCTTGTTTTTCTAGGCCAAAAGCATATAAATTTTGTGTCGTTTCGTTGAGTGATGAGAAAGTTACGATATAAAACGTATTTGCATTGATATGTGTTATTCTTGCCCAGCCATCTGAAAATGTTTACCCTTATTAATTAAAGGGGTGGCTTTTACAAACGGATGTATAGTCACCTCAGTGGTAAGACCATATGCCAAAACGCGCCTTTCACCCCCTTGTCCTGAGTTTGACCCCTGAGGAGGGCAACTCTTTTGGCATTTTTTGTCATTTTTCACTCAAACTTCAAAAAATCGTATCTCACTCATTTTTAATCGTTTTTCACCCGTTCTTTTTTCATTGTGTTACTATTAATGTGTACTTTCATATCATATTTTTTATTTTCATGTTTGACAAATTTTTCACCTCTTTTGACTGGGTGCAAGTTAAGTACGTTTCGCGTACGTTTACGCATTTGCAGATGAATTTTTATGTGGTTCCACTTGGATTTGTCTGTGAAATTTGTTTGTACTCATGTCCATACATGTTAGTTAACATGCTAGGATTTTTTACTTTGAGTTGTAACTATGTTTATCTCATCCCGTCCGTTGACTGTATTTGAATGTGATTTGTCGTTACAGTTCTCGTTATTTTCATTCGTGTTGATTATTATCAATGTGCTTTCATCCTTATCATTTCACATGTTTGTTTAATTGGTTGTTACCATGAAAATGTTTTATTATGTTGTTGCCTTTCCCTTTTATTTTTCTTTCCCCAAGTGATGAGGCTTGTTAGCTTTCATCCAGTTGTTTCCCCAGTCACTTCCAAAGGAAAGTCTATCCGTTTAACTCCTATGTTATGGATATTTCATTCACCCATTCCCTCGACTTTGTTAAGTCATTGTTACCTTAGTCTAGAAACCTTAGACTTTGCTTTAAGTCTAAAAGACCCACCTGTACTAGGAGTGTTGTTCAACTAGAACCCTAGGAAAGAGTTCGTCAACTCTGTGTAAGAATCATCGTCATGATTTCTTACTTCCCCTCTTGAATATTACAACTTAGATTAGGGAGTTTTGTCAAACTCCACACAAACATTGTCATGTTTGTTCCCCCTTGAACCTTGATCATAATCAAGTGTTCTTTATCCCTTGTGAGGTGAACTACGATTGCTCTGATTCTATCCTAGTTAGGATACGTAGGCAGAAGATGCGACGTCTTTGCGAGCAAACTTAGTGTATATAACGTTAGGTTTCAACTCATATCTTTTCCCAATCCATAGTACATTTTCACAAACTTATCAAGCAATCAAACAAAAGGTTCCTGTAGAGTACTACAGATATTTAGGGTGCTAATACCTTCCCTAGATATAACTAACCCCCGATCCCCGAATCTCTTAAGCGTTGTCGTTACATCGCGAAAACGGTTTTTCTTTCTTTAGACCTTTCCTTTGGATAAAATAAGGTCCGGTTGTAAAAGAATTAAGATTCAAGTTAATTAATAACTTGATATCCAATTTTCACCGCAACAATAGGTAATGGTACAAATCATACAAATCATTCCTTAAACCATAACAGGTCTGGTACAAATCATTCCTTAAACCATAACAGTTCACCACTCTTGTGTTTATTTCCTTCATATCATAACAGAATGAAAGTAGGATCTAGTAAAGGGAGAAAAGCATGTCTCGCGGTTACTATTGTTTTCATTGCAATTTTATTGCTAATTCTCATTCTGGATTTCACTATATTCAAAGCCAAGCATCCTGTTATGGGTCTACAGAACACATTACTAGGTAGCAGTTCAAATGTCAATTGTAGCTGCTAATTTACTACTACTTAGACAACATGGTACATAGCTGGTTATGAAGCATTGATAGCTCTAGTCACTGTTGTTAACAATTGTCCAAGGTCCCCACAACTGCTACATAATAATAACAATACATATGCAACTTTGGGATTCCAGCCATGGCTGATTCCTGCGGATTCTTGACTAATTTTTGTACTTAGTTTCAAAGCTCGTTTGTCTAAGTAATAAGGGTTTGATCTCGGACCTTAAATTCGGAGGTTCTAACTTTGATCTCATGACACCAATATGTTTCCTTTAAAATGAAGGTTACCAATTTGTCACAACAAACACCAACCAACCCTTAGAATGAAAAATAAGTTTTAAAACAACAATGTCTTAAGAGCTGATAAACTCCATTTCAAAATAGTTTTGACATCAAAGATCATGATTTCAATACAACAATATCAACCCTCAATATAACATACACTTCAACAGTCTAGTAACAACATAACCCTATTGCCCTAGTGACAGTCATAAATTATCAAAACTGTATACAAACTGTGATTACAAAGATAAATTTAGAGCAGTAACACTTAGGAAAACGAGAAATGATAATATCATATTCGTCAAGATATTGGAATACAAAATACATATAATAAACCATAACATAGCTGTGCATCTTCAATCAATATCCTATCGTTGCTTCACTACGTATCAAAAATCTCTTCAAACACATCTACTTGTGTATCGTCATGCAAACAAGATATTGATTCAATTTCAATAGTAGGTAGAACATGTAACATCCCATCAGACTGATATAGCATTTCATCCTCTATGTTATCAATCATCACATGACCCCTTGGTTTTGTGGTGATTGCCGCACACCATCCATGCATATCTCTACACATTTCTGGATATGGGACATAATACACTTGTTTTGAATTTTGCGCAAGGATGAAAGGATCATAAGGACGATAACGGTTATCCATCTTAATATCAACAGTTTTATATTGTGGACGAACCTTTGTTCATGTGTTCTTTGTTGGGTCAAACCATTCACAATAAAAAAGTGGAATCTTCTCCTTTAAACCAAGGTAATCTAGTTCATAGATATGTTTGATTATGCCATAAAAATCATCTTTTCCTCCTTCAGCGAGACCTTTCACGTGCACACCACAATTGACAGTTTTTTTTTACCTTTGCTCCATTCTTCGGTATGAAACTTATACCCATTTACAAAGTACATGTTCCAAGAGATTTCCAATGATGAAGGACTATGTGATAAGGCAATTATGTCTTTGTTGGTAACTCCATTTGTCTTCTCATTTACATATTTCTTCAACCATATGGGAAACTCTGTATGTATTTGTCCAGATGAATCTTCTATACTTATAGAATGACTCTCTAAGAATATGTTGCAATCAACCACACAATTCATGAGTAAATATTTATCATGATATGCATCAGGATCTTGATTGATGTGTTATGATGCATACTTACTCAAGATATGGTTTGACCTCATCACAATTTATCAAGACATGTACATGTGAAGACTTCCATTCCTTATCTGATAGATATTGTTTTCCAGACTTCCCACTTGGTCGACCACCACTGTGTAGGAGGGACATTGTAGGTAGGATGTCATCATGGTTTGAACGAGGATTGTTACAAATATTTGTGTTTGGCAACAAACCGAATGAGTTGAAATAATGAGAACAAAAGTAATTTGTCTCACGATGTATATAATCGGTGTATATGGAACCTTCAACTCTAGCCTTATTTGTCACTTCCCTCTTTGAGACTCCCATAAATATGCACATTCAATCATACCATGTCTATTAAGTTATGATAAACGAGTAATTACTAAATAAAAGCAACCACAATCGTTACCTTTCGAATGGATACATCCACCGGTATTGTACTGGTCCACCTAACATCCCTTCTTTAGAAAGATGGATTAGAAGATGCTCCGTTGAGTTAAAGAAACTAGGTGGAAATATCCTTTCTAACTTGCATATGATAACTGGAATGTTATCATCAAACTTAACTAAGTCATTCATCCTTAACGTATTGCAACAAAGGTCTTTGAAGAATCGACTTAGCTCGGTTAATGTTTTCCAAACCAAATTCGGCAATGAACAAAATGCAATTGGGAGTAAACACTCCATGAAAACATGACAATCATGGCTCTTCATCCCATGCACCGTACCCTTTTCGACATTGGCACACCTAGAGAGGTTTGAAGCATAGCCATCTGGCATTTTCAATTCCTTCAGCCATTTACAAACCAACTTGACTTTAGGTTTGGTTAGAGTGTAGCTTGCCTTTGGTTTACCCCTCTTTTTGTTAGTTAAGGGTTGGAGCTCTAAGTCCCCACGAAAGCATAATTTAGCCAAGTCTTCTCTCGCTTTTTCGTTATCCTTTGTTTTATCCTTAACATTCATGACAGTGTTAAATATATTATCAAAGACATTTTTTTCTATGTGCATCACATTGAGGTTGTGCCTTAATAAGTTATCCTTCCAATATGGGAGATCCCAAAAAATACTTCGCCTTTTCCAATTATGATCAACTCCATACCCTTCAAACTCTTTCCATTTTTCTTCCCATCCAATTTCAGTCACTTTTGGAAAATTACTTATTACTGCCCATATATCTTGACCTGTGGAAACGGGAGGTGGGTCGCCTTTCACAACCCTATTTTTTATGAAACTTCTTTTACTCCTTCTGAAAGAATGATTAGTTGGCAAGAAACGACGATGATAGTCAAACCATGAATTCTTATGGCCACTTTTCAAGGTAAAAGCATTTGTGTGTTCCATACAATGAGGGCATGCCAGCTTACCTTGTGTTCCCCATCCATATAACATACCGTAGGCCGGAAAATCATTAATTGTCCACATCAAGCAGGCTTTCATGATGTAGTTTTATTTTGTGGATATATCATATGTCAAAACTCCATTGGACCATAATAGACATAGATGATCAATCAATGGTTTCAAGTAGACATCTATCTTCCATTTAGGATTGTGAGGTCCAGGTATGAGACAAGCAAGAAACAAGTATAGTTTGGTCATGCACATTTCAGGGGGAAGATTGTATGGAGTAACTATTATTGGCCAACATGAGTATGGAGAAGCAGATGCTTGAATGTAAGGAGTAAATCCATCTGAACACAAACCCAATCTTACATTTCTGGGTTCCCTAGCAAAGTCAGGATATACATCATCAAAATGTTTCCACGCTTTTCCATCAGACGGATGGCGAAGGACATTGGAACTATTTTTGTTCATTTGATGTCATCTCATTTCAGTTGCTGACTCAGTTGATGCATATAGTCTTTGTAATCTAGGAATGATTGGAAAATAAAACATCCTCTTCGCTGGGATATCTTTGTACTTTCCCATGCCAGTCTTGCAAGGAATGAACCTAGGAGCATTACAAAATTTGCACTCAGACAACTTACTATCATCCTTGTAGTATAACATGCAACCGTTCTTACAACAATCAATCTTCTTAACCTTTATCCCTAACTTAGACACCTACTGTGATGCTTGGTAATAGTTCTCAGGCAAACATTTTTGAACTGGACATACACTTTTAAGCATTTGTGCAACAAAATCTAAACCTTTTTGTGGAACGTGCCAGTTAGACCTAATTTCAAGAAGTTGAGTAGATATTGATAACATAGACTGGGTAGCTCCCTCATAGATAGGCTTGTCGAAAGATATCAACTTGTCATTATACTGTTTAGCTTCTTCGTTGGGAAACTCATCCTCCAAAAATTCCTCTTGTTCCCTGTTATCATTCGCGTGAGAGAAACCTCCATGAGGCCTAAATGCATCATACACCATTTGATCCATTGCCTCAAACTGGTCAGCTTGATGCACATGTTCACTACTATTTGAGCCACCCCTTGTATCAATATTGAGCTCCACTTCTCCATGTTGAGTCCAAATCCAATAGTTTGGTTGAAATCCATATTGATATAAGTGAAGTCTTACATTAGTTGTTGTACTTATCTTACAACACTTGCAATTTATGCACAAACACCTTATCCCTCCCTCAGATTTACAAATGGGTTGATTCAAAGCCTTCTTCACAAACTTTTTAACCCCACGAACAAACTCATCTTTTAATCCGTGTCTATCAGAATATGCTCTATTATACATCCAAGTACGATCCATTTTCTATATAGCAAACAATTAACATGTGAGTCACTAAACATTAAAACATGTCTTGTCTAAATTTAGAGGAACCAATATGTTTAGTGTTGATCCTATATTGTGTCCTAAACATCATGCATCAAGGTTTCAACCACCAAATATGAAACCAAACAAAGTTCTGATAGGAATCTAGGTTGACCAACCTCCCAACAAACTTGGACAGTAAGCAAAGTAAAGAGCCAAGCATTCTCACTATGTCATCAATGTTTGAAACTTAGTCTTGTCATGACCTCAACTAAACACACATGACAACACCCTTTCAACATACCACACCAGCAAAGAACATACAAAGAAATCTACTAAGTCCCTACCTAGACTGCCTAAAACTTGTCATCATGGATTAGCAAACCATGATGCACAATGTGCCCTCCAAGTATGGAACACTTGATGACAATATTCAATACACAAAAATCCATGACGATGAGAGTTGGTCATTACAATGCCAATTTCTAAACACATATGGTTTTAAAGATAGAGCTCAATGGTACTAGAAGTTGACAAACCTTAAAGCAAATGTTGACATAATTCTTGGTGTTTCAATCAACATTCATGTTTAATCAAAGAAAGATTTAGGTACCAGTAATAAATTGAGCATAAGCTTAATATGTTTAACCAAAATCAAGGATTTCTTTCAATGATCAATGTTTAATTTCTTTGTTGACATGTATGTTATGCAGAACGATTAGCTCTTATTCGTCAACAAAGAGCAAAAGCTGTGAAAAAGAGGGGTGAAGAGAAAGATGGTAAGTTCTAAAAAACTGTTTGTTCTGCTTGTTTTCTTCTTCAGACATCTAAACGGTTGAAACTGATAATTGAGTAAATCTATTTCAGCTAAAGAGCTTAAGAAGGCTGAAGTACGCAATGCAGCCTAACCTTATTCCAATTAATAGGATGAATATATACTCTCACTACTCATAAATATTGTATCTATGGATCTTTATAGTGGATCTGACAACGATCTCATTCCATGTTGGTAATTTGTAATGCAGTTATTCTAGCATCATGTGACTTGAAATCTTAATTAAATAAATACTTTTCTTTCACATAAAGTTTGGGAACAGTTAAATGTTGTTTATCTTATGGACACTACATTTAGCACTGCATTTTGTTTGGGAAAGTAGAGGGACTCTACAGGAACCTCTTTTCTGTGTACTTGGAAAACAACATCATTTAGCAAAAACAACATTGATGAATTACAACTATCATAGCTTTAACAGCAAGTTGTACAAACAAGATGAAAGCACCAGTCAAGCAAAAATATTTTGAAAGTTAACAAACTCATGAGTAAAATCTGAACAGAAGCAGTAACAAACTTGGTGTTTACCAATGTTAACACTCACATTAATTCAAACGTTGTTTTCAAAATTAATTACCAATTTGTCAAACCAACACAGTTCTAACATGAAGATCAAGAGTTCAAAATATTGCCAAGTTCAAATCCTCCTACAACTAGTTTATTATGCATTTTAAAATGACAAATGCTAAATCCAAACAATTTTATGTTATGAAAATAGATTTGAAAGCAACAAACATAAGCTTGACATAACAATGTCAATCCTCAACTCTCACCATCTGTTTCAACAATATATATTATCACCTCTAAAAAAGCAACAAACTACCTACATTACCCTAGAGACAATCTAAAAGCAACTGTCATGAGTTGAACAAACTCACACCTCAAAACAAAATGACAGCACATTGTGAATTACAATGTCCAAATCACTCAAACTAGTCAAAACCTACATTATGGGGTAGTTGTCCTTTCACTAACAGGTTAGTAAGAGAAATAGTTTTGACAGCAACAAACATGAGTTCAACATAACAATGTTAATCCTCAACTCACCCTATGTTTCAAAGACATATATCAACATTTTTACAAAAAAGTAATAACATGCACATACTGCCCTAATGGCAGTCTCCCATTTAACAACCAAATAAATATAATTATAAAAGAAATTAATTTTAAAAAAAACACGCCAAATAAGAGAGGTTTTCATTAAAATTTCTTTCTTTTGAATTCAGTAGTAACTTATCAGAGGATGACACATGGCATTGGATAAAAAAACCTACAAATAATCAACAATTCCCTCTCCCAATCAATACAAGAACCAATAAAACACCTGCTATAAAAAGCTCTGCAGCAACCCTCAAAAAGCACAATTAAACCAAAAGCACATATACGCCAGAGCCAAAATCACCCACCTACATTACTCTAAAACCATGCCCCTAATTCATGAGAATATTATAAAAATACACACAACAAAAGCAACTTGACCTTAATATCACAGAACAAAACAAAACCTCTATACACACAACAAAGCGACGTGAGCTTGACACACACAACAAAGTAACCTAACTTCAGACTAACGATGCCTTTGAGCGTTTGGCTCGAATTGTACGCGTACAACAAACAGAATAAAATCGTTCATGCCATTCCAATAGTAATGCAAATATTCTCAAAATTTCATAAGTGAAATGAACATTGACTCACAAAACTAATATCACAGTAATGCAAATCAATAAAATATGAGAACATTAAGACTCAATATACCATAACCGAAATGATAATTCCATAAACTCACATGTTCAGAAATACGTTCAATATACTTTCTTCTCTCTGATTGCCTCGCCGTAGTCTCTAACCAACACCGTCGCGCCGGAGTTTAAGCTCTGTTAATTAATCCAAGTTCAATTCAGTTGAGAGTGAGGATTGTGTTAAATCTCAGTTAGGGTTGGAATTAGAAATTCATGAGTTGAATGCAAATAACACAAACAAATTGTTCTACCTTATCAGACTTAAGAATAAGTTTTCTGAGATTAGCAAGCTGAGTATTGATTATATCTCTGCGTCTTTTATCTGCTTGACTATGACTCTTGGAAGCACTTACAGCTCTATCTTCTAAACTTCCTTCAACAGGTAAAGGCCAAGACTGAAACTCACTACATTGAAAAGAAGCAGAAGAAGAATCAGAGATAGTTTGAGGTTGAATTTGAGCAGGAAAGTGTGAACGAAGAGATGATCTTGAACGAATAGATGATTTTGAAGAGAAGAGCAGAAGAATCGATGATCTTGAATCGATTTTGTTTGATTTTAGGGGTTTTTTTTCTTCTGAAAATCTATTTGGTTTAATTTTAGGGTTCTTCATTCTGAAAGGAATTAAGAGGGAAACATGAAAAACAAGAGTGGGAAATAGTTAGCCTCGGCTCATCCGTGTCTATTAGATAAAATAAATAGATTCGAAAAAAATAAAAAATAGTTAGCCTTGGCTCAACCGTGTCTAATATTTAAAAAAAATAATTCAAAAATTAAAAAATATCAAGCCTCGGCCTACCCATGTCTAAAGAATTAAATAAAAATAATTGTAAAAGAAAAACTCTAAAATGGTTTTTTTTTGCGTTTAAATAGCCTCGGTTTTGTCAAGGCTAGTTATCCTCGGTGTCGGTGGCCGAGGCTAAATTCGCAGCTAAAAATAGTTAGCCTCGGCTCAACCGTGTCTAATATTTTAAAAAAATAATTCAAAAATTAAAAAATATCTAGCCTCAGCGTAGCCATGTCTAATGAATTAAATAAAAATAATTGTAAAAGAATTAAAATGGCTTTTTTTGCGTTTGAATAGCCTCGGTTTTGTCGAGGCTAGTTAGCCTCGGTGTCGGTGGCCGAGGCTAAATTCACAGCTAAAATGAAGTTTTCTAGTAGTGTGAGAAGCAGTCCCATCTAAAAACTCGCAAAAAGGACATGAAATCCTACTAGAATCTGATAACACGTTTCTTATAAACATGTTTACTTTGGATGGGAATCAATCATACAATAACTTCCAGGAAAAAACCAAGATCTTATACAGAACATAAAAAAATTTAAATTCTCCTTTTAGACCAGATAACTAATAGCCACTGAAAAAGTAAATTCTTCACTTATCCTTGTCTAGAGTAAGAATAACATCTCTAAGAAAGGTATGAAACTCCTATAGAAAAACCAACTCTCTAAAGAAGAAATATATCCTCTGTCTAAAGTCCTAGGCCAGGACCCTATTGATAACCTCCTTTATCTCACCCGCTGTCGTACTTCAAAAACTATGATCCTTCGCGTATGATCGTGGAAAATTAGTTTGAATAGAGTCGACATCAAACTTTATTCATTCCAATGAAGGAATAGGAAAATATTGATAAAACCTTTAAGATAAGAACATGGTCATCGCAACCAAATTCTAGGTTCGGAAGTCGATTACGCAGTGGGGATGATATTAGTACCCCTAACGTCCATTGTACTCAACAGGAACATCTTAGTCTGATTTGTGATTGAATGTTATCTAATGTTATTAGTTTTCTTCTAAGCGAAAAAATGTGAAAGGGAATGAGAAAAGGGTTTATCTGCTAAAGGGAAATTGATGGTTTTTTATTAGGGCGCTCGCCTAGGATTGGGGCCCCTGTGCCTACGTATCTTCATTTGATAGAAATAAACAATCAGAGCGTCTGTAGTTCATGGGACTACAGTTGGTTGGTTTATTACATGGATGACAATTATTTGAATAGTAAAGAAGGCTCATAGTACCCAAACAATCGAGGAGAAGAATTGAAGGCTCGAGACTAACTCCCTTTTCACCTTTACAAAAATAATGTTCAAGTAAAGGTTTAGTGTTTTAAAGAACGACAAGTACTTAAATGGCCAAGGAAGGCTCCTTGTATACAAGTACTCGAGAAGCGAATAAAAGGCTCTAGACTCTTTCTTTTCGTTTAAGTAACTATAAAAAGGATTTGAGTTTCAATTGGATTGAAAGTCACTTTAGAGAAGATAGTTGTTCGAATAGTAAGGAAGGCTCCTAGTACCCAAACAATTGAGGAGAAAATTTGAAGGATCGAGACTAACTCCCTTTTCATCTTTTAATGAAATAAGGTCTATGTATTATTAAGTAGATTAATTTGACTTAGATAAAATACTCGATGTTGATCGAGGTTTGAATTTG